TTATTATTATTATTCAAAGTATGGTTGGACTTTAACAAAGACATGATGGCAACACAAGCTGAGCAAAACATCAAAACTACAAAACTCTCATTCTTTCTTACACAGACTGAACAACAGTTTGTAATTAAGAACATATAAACTGTTTCATGTGATTTCTGACATGTCTACGGGTTGTGAAAAGTCAGCAGTTGTCAGATACACACCGCCTGCAGGAAGAGAGGAATCGTCGTGTTTGGCTTCAGTTTCTGTTCGTTCTCCAGCAGCGTGGCTAACGGTACACTGAAAAGTGTACTCTCTGTGAAAAAATAAAAAAATAATAATAAAAAAAGTAAATAACTGTCGATCATGTGTTAATGTATAAATTTGTTCAAAATATTATGGAAAATAAGCATCGAAAACAGGTTAAACTGTTATTAGAGGAGTCGGTGTAGATTTTACTCAATTTAAATAAATATACCGTATATAAAATGTTTAAGATTCTGTGTGCTTAAACCTTACGAGAACACAAGGTTGTATTTTCACCTGGGATTTTCCTCCTTCCAGTTTTGTGCCGTTTCACCTCCACTTCTAAAAGGTCGCAGAGCGCCGTCATGTCGATGAGAGCCAGCTGGCGCACCTTCTTCATGTCGGTGTGGGAGAGATCCTGTATCCGAGTCACTCCCAGACGACACTTGGGACAGACCACCCGCTGAGGATGAGAAGGTGGGGGGATCGAGGAGGAGAAAACAGAACGTTTTAATGATGACAGGTAAAACAACAGAGAAGGCAAAACATCACAACAAATAGAAGAGAAATAATGATTGATATTGATATCCTATCACAAGCACGCAGAGAAATAATCATCTAAAGTTAACATGAATAATTCAACAAACACAACTCCTCTCATTTCAAATAAAATATAGTGAAACAAATCAAATCTGCTGGACTTTGTGGCACAAAATAAAAATCAGGGTTTCAAAAATAACTATATTTTGATCAAATGTAAACAGACATTTTTAACATCCTTAAATTTGAATGTTTCAACATTTTCAACATTAATTTTAAAACCACTTTGATCATGCATTTCTATTTTAAGAAGGCTTTAATTGTAACAAACTTCCTGGTGCTGAAACAAACTATTTTTCTTCTTAATGCTCCAGTAGTGTATGGGCCATGTATATACTGTATATAGCTATGACTTTTACTTGCTAGCTTTGTTAGCGTGCCGCAAGGACAGAGGGAAATAAAATACAGTGGAACACAAGTGGGTGTTTCCCCTTATTTCATTTTTAAAAAAATTTCTTGTTTTAAAATGAAACTTGAAGAAACTTCCTCCTCAGACACTTCCCCGACTGAAATAATATCTAAAGAAAAAAAAAGTGTTCCTGGAGCTGAACTATGAGTAGTAAAAACACTGGGTACTTACAGGGAGTGAGCCATCTTCTTTCCTGTGTTGAGTGTTATTCTGTGGAAACTTGGCTTGTTTAATGAAGATGACGGCCTGTTCGCAGTAAGCGATGTCCGTGATGAGGAACTCCTCTTTAGGAGCGCCTCGTTGATGCTCTAAAGCCATGAAAAAAGAAAACACAAAGTGTTATTTCAATGCAGCAAGTCAACTGAAAACGTGTCATTAGGGGGGAAAAAAACAAAAGATCAAACTTTGAGAGGACAAAGAAGAAGAGAAGGAAACGTTCCACAGACTTATCTTTGACCTTGTTGTTATTTTAATCAAAAAAAGTAAAATATATACAGGAAAAAAACAAAAATACTGACTATGTATCAGATTTAACTGTGTTAAAGTTCATCTGAAATGCCAATGCACTCAATTATTTTAAATAACTGAAATCAAATCAGACTGTTAGGGTGAACTAGATTAGGGTTAAAATTGTGAAAAATACGATTTAAATAGTTTCCTGTTTACTAGAAAGCAACAAAACAGACACGGATGCTCCAGCAGCAGCATGCTGACACAAGAAGCTACGCAGAGATTAATCTAAACCAGAAAAACTAACAAGACAACAGGACACAGATCTACTCCTCACAACTCATTTGGACATAAAAAAACAGGGTAAAGGTGAGGTAAATTAGGTTAAAACTCAAGAGTCATTTGTAGGATGACTGGAAAAGAATTAGTCATAAAGTGAAGTTTGGATTCTGTTTAAGTATTAAAAACAACCATAGCCACTGTGCAGCCATCTTTAAATACATTCAAATCTTGTATCCATATTTTGTTTAGTCAATAGAGCATTTTCAGTCAGTCAGGTCATTTCATGTAGTTTTTACCTGAAAGTGGTGTTTTGGCAACTGAAGCCATACTGTGTTGGGCAAGGTCTTCGTTATGCTGAGATTCTGGCAGCAGAGTCTGTTGAAAGAGAGTTTGGGCAAGTTAAGAACAAACCTCTATAGTAACAGTTATAAATATCAATTCTTAAATACTATCTGCACTCCTGGGAGTAAAATGTGTGTATTACTCAAATACACAGAAGAATACAGGGTGTTTCCTTTGATAAGGTACTGATAATAATCAGAGGAGCTGAGTTTCTGTTCCTCTCTGAAGGCTGACACATTCAGGCGTCGAGGACAAAGCCTGGCCTTTACATGCGATTTGCTTTTATTGTTATAGGTCAGAGCAACAAGAGACCCAATCAACAAACTCTTTCACTGACAATTACTTTGGGGATCATGCTTGATTTTTTTTTTATTTAACTTTACAAACAGAATTCCAACAGAGGAGGCTTTCCTTAACAGGTCTGAATCTTAAGGTTTCATTTAAAACGTATTTATTGAGTTTTGTATATTAGGTGCAGACAACTTGTTTGAGACAAAAACATATTTTTTGAGCTGTAAGCAAACTTCCTTTTGACTGGTGAAAGTATTTTTTTGAGTCATTTCCTCACGCTGACCTGAGCAGAGCTGAAGATGTCCCGAACGTCACGAGGCGGCGGTTTGTTTTTTTTCCGGCGGGACACAGTGTAGGAATCGAGTCGACGCTGAACGGCGAGCGCCTGCGTCTTAGTCAGAGTGGACAGCAGCACCGCCTTGTCTACATCCTCGCCGTCGTCGCTGATGAGGGTCGATAAGCCAGCGTCGGCCAGCCACTGCTCCTCTTGCTCTCCTTCTGGAACATGAAGGCAGACACAAACGCACATCCAGTAAAACGCATGTAATACTTCTGCAAGTGTAATTCTGGGAAAGTTAATTACTTTCTGTGCTTCAGTTAAACCTTTTCTAAAAGCACTTTCTGCTCAAACTTGGATGTTAAAATCCAGTTAAAACCAAATTAAATGTAAACTCAACTTTTTACACAATTTAAAGCTAAAAAGTCAAATTTATAAAAATGGTTTCAACAACAATCACATATAAACATATTCCAGTTAATGAGCTTCTAAAATTAGCAGCACTCAGTCACACAACGAGTAATGATCAGTAATTGTAATATTTTAGTAAGAACAATTCTGGGTTTTTATGACTCCAAACAGTCTGTTAGAATGAGAAAGAGTCAATTATTGAAGTCTTTCTTTTATTAAACACTTTATTTTATGTCTCTTCACACATATGTTTCAACATTATACTTCCGTCTTGGTCAGAGGTGTCCCAGCTGATGTTGACACCTCTGAAGATGGAAGTACAACGTTGAAAAATGTCAGGCATGTTTGAAGAGACATACAATAATTAGGTGTGTAATAAAAGAACTTTATTAAATATAAAACACAATTGGTTTTATTGGAGTAGAAAGGACCTGCTCTTACACAAAACCTTCATGTGAATAAAAACAGCTGACAGGAAGTTAGTAGGCATCTTGAATTCAGCAAGAAATGCATTAAACTGCCTGTGACGTCAAATTTTTGTAATACATATGAATGCATTTTTGAAAAGATGTCACTGACAAAATACTGCAAAAGAAATTTCATGTTACTGAGATGATCAGTTGTTGAGATTTTTGCCTGTAAAGCAACAGGAAGTGATGTCAAAGTGAACAGAGTGTTGCTACAACAGCTAACAACCCAGACTGTAGAGAAGAATCTGATGTTTCTTAAGATTATTTTGAGTCAAAATCAGAGATAAATAAGAGTCAGAGTTCAAATAATATTGTTTCAATAAACAAAGACCAGGGAGTTTTCTTTGTTAAAGAGTTCCCCTTTGATGTCACTTCCTGTTTCACTTTGGCTGAGCCAAGTTCAAAAGGAAATATGCCAGTTATGGGAAAAAAATGGGTAAAATCGTGTGTATTGTTCCAACTTTCTTAAATATAAAGATGTTTTCTTTGACTTTTTGTATTTGAAGAACATGCATGTCACAGGCACTTTAAAATGCATTTATTTTTATTAAGTAAGTTGACTAAGTGTAAAAAGGAATGTTTTTGATTCATAATTAAATGTCTAAAAGAGAAATATGAAAATAAGAGAAAACTCCATTTAAAAAAGACAAATTCAAGGTCTGTTTGGCTTGTGTCTCCATCTTGGGCTGTTTGAAAGTGTTGTCATGGTGAAGATGAGTGCTACTTCACCACATGAGAAAGCTGATATGTTGCCATGGCAAGTGAATCATTTTTGTGGAGAAGATGGAGGCTCTGTGTGGTAGCCCGACACAACGTTTAAGAAAAGCTTCTGCATAAAAGCATCTTGTATCTGCTCTCCCTTTCCACTCGTAAAAAAATAATAAAAATAAAAAAAATCAGACCCCGGATCTGCAGTAATTACCTTCTGAGTGTCTGGAGTCTCTCCTGCTGCAGCCAAGATCCGGGTCGCCCTGTTGGATGGTCTGAACCTCATGCCAGAACGAGTCCACGCAGGCTTTGTCGGGGAACGTCTCCTGGTCCTCAGAGGGGGCGTCGAGCGGGCTGTGTGCTTGCTTAGCGGCTGCCTGGTCCCGGGAGCTGGCCCAGGGCTCCACGCTCATCTCGGTGGGGCTGGGATCTCTGGTGCAGACATACACACACGTAAAGAAATCGCACGCATGCATGCAAACAAATGGGCAGACACACAGAGATGCGTTAAAACAAAACAACACAGGCAAAGCGTGAGGCGGCGTGGGACGAATGAATCGGCCTGGAGAGCAGACAGCTGGAGAGACAAAAGGAGTGTGGGATGAAGGAAGGGCCGGCGTGAGGAGAGAGATGGTGAGCTGACACAAAGGGGTGGGGGGTGGGGGGGGGGGTCTCTATTGTTCTTGCAAAATGTGGCCTTGAGGAAAAATGCCTAAAAAGATCCACTAGATGTCACTGTAAGAATATGAAATCTTTCTGTAGGGTCACACCCCTCCATCTACTAAAGCCTTTTTGTAAATAAAAGCCTCTAATAACAAAATGTGAAACATGCAGTAAGGGTCTTTATAATTTTTTTTCAGATTTGCTGAAGGGTTCTTTCTAGAACAAAAGCAACGATAGCCTTTGTTTCCTGTAGGGCTCAACAGAGCAACGTTTTCTGCTAACAATGGGACACAAGCTGGCAGACCCACTCCCACCCTGCAGCGTTACACAGGAAGTGGTCTGCTGCCTCCTGTCAGCGGTGTGCTGCTCGGCCACATTCTTTGATTCAGCAAATTAGATTTCTGTAAAGAATGCCAGATGGCTCGTCACGCCTCCACCGCTGCAGATGGAGACATAAAGTTTGCTGGAAGCACTCAGGTCAAAAATAACTGGCAAATTTTCTACTGCGTTTCATACACGCTGACATTTACAAATCAACTGATGCAAGACTGAGTTAAACCAGTTTCATGGTGGGGAGTCTGAGCGAGGAAGATACTCAAGAGTTTCAACAGAAATTAAGCAGAATTTCAAAAATAAGAATGTTGTTTCACGGAAAGTAACAAGAAAACAAGCAGAGAAACTAAATCAATGTGTTGTGAAGATGAAAGATCAGACTAAAATGCCATCCTCGGTCCTTTATTTGTATTCAGTTTAGGCTCAATTCCCTCTGTCTTATGTAAAGTCATGAAACTGTTCATTTTTATGTTGAAGTTTGGCTTTGATGCAAAAAGAAGTCCAAACAAAATTCTTACATCTAAACTTGTGTCTTGATAAACAAAAACAGCTAAGCACAGAAACTCATGTAGAAAACAAAATCCTGACTGTAAGAGTAGATACATCTTACGGGACATAATGCGTGCTACTGTAAAAGCTACACTGAAAGTGTTGCAATCATAAGGTCTTGTAGTTGTTTTTTTGCCACAAACTGACAAAATGTTATCAAGAAAGTTCAACTGCAACAAAAAGATTTACTGTGTAAAAAAATGTTTTGCTGCTGCTTTACAACCTTCCAAACCGGCAAGGCTGCATTCCAACATTTAAAAGCCTAAAGTTTATGTCATAACAGGAAGTCCAGTCTGATCCAGCTCATGTCAATTTAAAAAAATAGCTTATACAGCATTTTATAAATATAAAGTACCCTTTTATAGTTTTTAGATAAAGACTAAATAAATACAGGATTGGTATTAAATATTGACTCTGGTGTGAGAGCAGTAATTTGGGGGTAACTTCAGTAGTTTTTCTAAGTAGTATTTGTTAAGCTTTAAACATACACACATTTAAAGAAGTCAAATATCACAAACAGGTATTTACATCTTTATGTAAAATATGTTGATATTTTTGCACCTTCTGAAGCTGGCTATTTGGAATGCACACATTTGGCAACTTTTGTTAGATTTTAATAAGTTCACTTCTATTTCTTTTGTTACCTTCAGAGTTGCTGCTGGATTTGTCCTGCCAGTCACTGAAAAGTGTCCCAGCTGCATCAAATCTGCTTAAATAGGGATCATACCTTAATTGTTTGGATTTTTTTGTAGTTTGATTTGTCATTTGACATCGTCATTGTTACTATTTTGCTCACTTTTGATTTATGTGTTGCCAGTGATTTTGTACTTTGTTTATTTCTGTCCCTTCCTCTGATCAGCCACTGTATAAGTTTCTCTCCTGTCTCATTAATTTAGTTAGTCCTTGGGTTTCCTGTGTTAGTCCCTGAGGTAATGTTAATGAGGTTTGCTTTTTTTATTGGCTACCAAACTAAGATTAGTCTGGAAAAACTGGTGATTTTTATTATTGCAACTCCTCCTCACTGGTCTGTAGTTCCTGACATATTATTATTTTATTTGCAACAAATTAATAACAATAAAAAGCATAAAAATTTAATTTAACCAAACACTGAATTCAGGTTATCATATTTGCATTGTCTGTTTGATGAAGTAGATCATCTCTCTCATTTTTTTGTAACACACTGATTTCAATAATTTATCTTCAGCCTACATTAATCTATAACTCACTGGTTATAAAACAGATTAGATCAGATTAAAAAGGTAGACGTAACAGTTTTTAAATGTCAAATGACTTGTAAACATTTTTTTTTCATTTGTGGTGGCAGACAGGATAAATGCAAGTTCACTATGACTGAAAAATAGCAGAAACATTGCTCACTGCAAGCAAATGTTTGGCATGTTAGCTTGTTAAATATTTTCATCAGATTAACTTTAGAGCGCACAATCATTCATCCATCGTTTTTTATGTTTGCCCATTTTTTGTGCACAGAGAAGATCACTGGAAAAGATCTGTTTTTCTACCTCCACAAAGGCCTGAAAATCTGTCACGATCCTCTTTCTGCTCTGCTGTGAGCACTACCTAATAACATCCAGTTACAACATGTTTGTATTGTTTCAAGGGTATACTTCAAAAGTATTTCAGTAAAATAACATTTCAGCACTGAAGTTGTATTGTGACTTTATAACGTCTGACAGTGTCAGCTGTTTAAAAAATTGACATCGGCCAAAATCAGAATCGGCAGGTCAGACTTTTTAAAGATCAGAGATCAGCAAGAAAACTGGAATCGGTGCACACCTAATGATCAAAAGTCAGGGTACAAACTATACTGTATTCTCAAAAATAAATCAATAAATTTTGCTCTAGAATGTTTCCTTTGCAATTCTATTTTATCTTCAGATTAAGTAAAGTTTTGTGAATACTATATCATATATCAAATTATATCAAATATATTAGAATACAGTAGAAATGTCTGCATCGTCTCCCTGTTGGTTTTTCTTCCACTGACAAAAACATGTAGTTAGGTTAACTGGTAGCTAAATTGTCACAAAGTTTAAGTGAATAATTTTGTGTCTTCATTGTCTCTGTAGTCTTGTGATTGTTGGTAAACTGTCCAGGGTGGACGCCACCTTTTGCCTATTGACCACTGGAGACAGATAGCAGCTCTCTGCGACTCAGGGAGGAAAAAATAGGTAAAGAAAATGGATGGATGGATGGATGGATGAATTATTTTGATTGTTTTTTTCTTATATCCACAAGTGCAGGGAAATGGTAATTCATAAAAGGTATTTAGGGAGAAAATTAGTCTTTATTAGCTCCACAAAGTTTAAAACAAAAAAAATAAATAAATAAAAGGAGTGTCAACAGCATTAGATTAAAGCTTAACCAGCTGATAAAGTGACTTCTGGTTTTAAAAATCTGTCAATAAAATTGATACCAGAGCTGTCCAAAGACACTAGTTGTGCTAAAAAAGTTGGCAGCTAAAAATACATACATTTGTCAACATGAAAAATATATAATTAAAGGACAACATGAGCAACAGCTGCATATAGCTTCAGCAATTAGCACACCATGGAAATGTTTGGACTGAGACCCTCAGAGGATGTTTAGAGGTTTTCTTTTTTCCATCATCACACAATGTGCCATCTGCCATCTACACAACTTCACTCTAAAAACAGAGAAGTCTGACCAAAAACCTTGATGAATATTATGTTGCGATCTCAACTTAACAAGTCTTCCTAATCACACATACCTGAATGTTCTCCTGTAGAGAGATGGCTTCGATCTCTTGCCCCGAAACGCATTTGGATAGCGTCTAAAATGCCCTATTATGGGGGGTTGAAACTGCATCTTGGCTTCAGCTCTGCTAACAACCACCTCCTCTCTTACTACCATGTCTACAGTGCTGAAGAAATCCAGGAATTACAGTCCGGCACAGGCTTTATCCAGTATTAGTGACTTGATACTTATGAGCGCGATCTAAATCGGTCAGTTGTTCAAGTTCTTCTGAGCAGTGGTAGGAAGTGATGTAAATAATTAGTGTGGCATCGAGCTGGTTGAGATAGTTGCGCATTGGATGGAATCCAGGAGGGAGTGACAAGTGTCTTACTATGAAAACATTTGCACCTGTCCCCTCCCTCAAGCCTTTAAGGTGACACACCCTTACAAACATACCAGCCGTCTAGTTCTTCTCTGGTTTGAACCAGAAGCTGTTACTTGCCACTCTAAAATCTTCCATTCAGAAAACTGTGAAGCACAACAAAGACAACCATTGTTTAGATTAAAGGAGATGGTCTCTTGATACACAGAAGGCTGACTAGCCGATAGTAAAACTATATGTGCCTGTAAATTTTAAATGGATACCTCAAGTTACTGCATGCATTGAACTAATCAAAGGACTCCAAATTGCTGCACACTCATATTTACATGGAACATTTTTATTAAAAGGCATCTAATGATGTAGTGCAGGGGTGCCCAAACATTTTCCCTGAGGGGGCCAACATGAAAATAAATCTGAGGGCTGTGGGCCAAATGCAATAATATAATACATGAAAAGCAAATACTTTTTAGCAAAGTTGTTTTGTTTATGATTAAGCTAGCAGCCAGTGTGGTGGCCCATATTTTTTTGTTTGTATTTATTTATTTTTGCTAGCCAATGGATGTGCAGAAAATCTGACGTACAGTTGAGCAGCAAAAGCTCATGAGACTTTTCATAAAGTAAAATTTGAGTAAGCCTATTTGTGATCTTATTAAATGTGCAAATATAGGTGTATGCTTAAATTGAATCTAAATGTCTAGTTACTTGTATTTTATGTTTAATTTTAATATAAAGATAAAGTAGGTGCCATGAGTTAAGACTTTCTGCACTACAGCCCTTAGTTGGGACCAGTGGTTGGAAGGATTACGTGGAAATATAGTGTTTCGACATAAAACAGGAGAAAACAACCTGGTAGCCAGGACAACTGCTGGCGGCCCAAATCAAATGGCTCGGCGGGCCAATTTTGGCCCACGGGCCCCACTTTGGCCACCTCTGATGTAGTGTGTTAAAACAACCCATGCCTTATATCCTTATATGTAAAAGAAAGTTTCTTGTTGCAACACCCCGGTTTGACCTCATACCTGAGTCGGGTTAGAAACATGACAAGTCACTCCCGGGTGTCAGAAAGTGACGAGGATGTTTGAGAAAAGGGACAAAACGGAAAGAAATAAATATGGAAAAAGTGAAAGCATTTCAAGTTTTACAAGTGTGACAGGTCTGTCAACATCCATGAGCAACTCTGTAACCCCCCACCCACCCCCAACCACCTCAACCTCCTCAACAAACCAACCACTTTGCCCCCCCCAAGTAAACTTACAAAACAAGACAATTGTAGGTGAATGTTAAAATGTTAGGAAAATATTCCGGGCTTTCCCACACATTACATTATACCTATTGTGCTCTGTATTTAAGAGAGACAACCCTGCTGGGAATCAGAACTTGTATCAAAGGATCTAAAACGCTCGCAGCCAAATGATCATCTACCGTAAAATCATAACATTAAACTAAAGCTCGGGCTAAAACACCAGGAGAATTACCAGAAGTGACATGGAATTACTCCTGGGGACAAATTTAAAAAAGAGCAATGAAATTATCCCTACATCCACTTTCTTGGCTTGTGTGAAAGTATTCGCTTAGCTGTAACTTGCTAACATTTACTCCAAACCTGCTCGCAAAATATATACATTAGAGACACGTCCCACGAAACCAAGCGCACGCTAATTATAAAAGAGGACAGCTGAAAATGTCAAATGTAATTGTTCCTTGTTGAATGGACCTTGCAATAACACAAAGAATTAACAGGAAGCCATGTGCTTAGAGAAGAATGGACACATCTGAAGCCGTCTGCGTTCAAACTTGAAACTGTGTGAAATAACGCGAGCCAACCCCAACAACCAACTACGTTCATGGACTATAGTAGTCAATCAGAAAACACTGAACAGACTTTAATTTTCAATCCTTAATCTTCTAATGAAAGCCTCTTACTTTTACCAGAATGCAACAATTAACTCAAATGATACTGAAAACATGTTTTTTGTCACCACATGCATAATGGAAAACAAACAATCAAACACACAGTAGATCTATAAAGCAACCAAAAGGGGAAAAAAAAACAGTTCCGAACAGTATCATAATATTAACTTGGATCACTAACCCCATTTAAATCCTATCATCAATCAACCAGAGTTGCACCTTTAAGTTCACAGTACTTGCTAATCTTTACATGTGTCTAAAACCCCACAGCAGCCTGCAGCAAAAACCTAATCCTACCTGGCTTTGGCCCGCCTGATAGCTTTGCCCGAGAGCAGCAGCAGCAGAGCTGCCGAGCCACTTTTCCCCCATGGCATCCTGAGGTTGTCCCCCCAGATTGTTGAAAACTTAAGGAAACAGCAGCTGCCTGCCCCCTGGCAAGCTGTTTCCTTGTAATCTCCTCAACATGCAAACACATTAGAACTGAGACAGTCTGCCTGCGCTGGCAGGAACGTCATTATGTTGCATCCTGGAGAAGGAAAGGAGGTCTACAAAAGGTGATGGATAGAGAGAGAGAGAGAGAGAGAGAAGCTGAGTGGCTGAGTTGGTTACTGGGGCTGAGACATATAGAGGACAAATATTGCATGAATGGTTGGTATTGACACAGCTGAAGAAGAGGATTAAAGTATGGTGCAGGAAACACAACAACTGCAGGCCTGTTAGGGCTGCTGACTCAATAACTTGGCTACTTATGTTGCAACTTTATCCTTCACTGGAACAAGGAGACGTGTGAAACGTCTTTTTATAGCAGTAATATGCTCACTTGTGCATTTTTGTACAGAAATAGAAACAATTCTTTTTGACAAAATATCCAATCCTTAGAGTTTTGATTTTCATCAGTAACTCTATTGACAGAAACAGATATTTCATTTAAATTTAGTCTAAATATAACCTCTAAAGTTACAAGCTTTTCTGTCAGTTCTAGTGTTTATGTCAGTCTAATCAGGGCGTTTTTAATGAAACCATCCATCTTTTAAGATGCTGCCAAAACAAATCCAGTATTTTTTTAAAAAACATATTTATCATCTCTTTTTTGACAGTAAACATTTGGTATTTTTAATGCCTGCAGTCTTGACATTTCTGCACTTTAACACTTTTCCCATTATCTTCTTATAACCAGTTTGCCAAGAGCTACTTGGAATTTTGCCTTTCCTGTCAGCTTTTTAACATAAACTAATTTATCACATACTTAAGCTTAAGGTTCAGTCCTATTGGTTATCTTATCCACCAAGTAGCCTTCTAAATCAAGAGTTTTCAGATGCAGACTCCATACTGCGTTATGTTCCACTATGTAGGTAAATATTTTAATCCCGTGTCTCTCAACGGCCTTTATCACAGTGTCAGATCCACTTAGCCGAGCAGGGGAATGAGAATTAGGTTCAGTGATTCTCTGCTAACTCCTTCCATGCACAAATATGCCTGTTTTATATTCTCCTCTTCTAATCTGTCGCTTCATATATATCCTTCCTTTTCGTAAATCTCCTCTGACTGTCACTCCTGGCAAGTCAAGCCCTTTTCTACCTCTATCTGACAATCCTCCTTAGCGCACAAAGACGGTCAAAGAAAAAGGAGAGTGCAGAACGTGAGGGCACTTCCTCGCGTGACCTCGCAGATGGCATGTGATGGCCAGCTCAGCCCGATCCCCGCTCATCCACCTTTTGGCAATCAGGGCACTGAGACTTTGCGGGGAGGAGGGGAAGGGAGGCGAGGACAGATAAGCAGAGGGCCATGCGCCAGATAAAGACAAGAGTTCAAACGTTACAAGTAAAAATGTAGCAGATGTAGAAAAGAAGCCCACGTTTATGATGATGCCAACGCCTCGAGATGGTCAGAATAAGACGCAAATGGTGACCAAATGTTATCCACAGAGAATCAACAGCTTGTGTGCATGTCCAGTCACACAGACGGAAAACAGCAATGAAGCAAAGAAAGTGAGAAAACTGTTCCACAAGAAGCAAGTTTGTTTTTTAATCTAATGGCCACAAACCACCAAAAGCAAATGCTGTGAATCTTTGAATTACAATCTGACACGATGAAAAAATGTTATAAAACCTTTAATATATACAGTACGTACATACACCAACGCAAAGGTCAGCAGCTGGATTTCTTTTCCACAAATCTGCCCACTGTAAGGAACACGTGTCTTCGCATCATTATTTACAACAGTAAAGTTTGGCACATTCATTCATCACATCAAGTAGTTGAACTTGTTCTGAAAGAATGGAAACATGTGGAAGAAAAGCTGCAGTTATTTGACCAAGTAAACAAGTTAACTTGAAGCTTTATCAACTACTAGTTGGTTTTTAATCTTTGACCTAAAACAAAATCAGAACATTAAGGGATGTAAAACCTTTCATTTTTGTCGGAGAGAAACAAACCTTGCAGAATAAGACACAGCAATGTTTGCAGTTCAGCTGAAGTTTCATTTTAAGCAGACTGTGATTTTGACCGAAGCTAAACTGGTTTGTTTAGTTTAAGATAATTACCACCTTTGGTCTGGTGGCGTCTTCTCGAATGTTTTGTGACTCACAAATTCTTTGTGTCGTTTTCTGTGCAGCACATCATCAGAAAGCTATGCTGCTGTCCTTTAGTTTGACTTAGATGTCTCGCAGCTGTAAATGTTGACCATAAAAAGTAGTCAACAAACCCGACGGCATGCATGCTTTTCTGCATCAGATACTGATACGATCGTGTCAGCCAGTAAAAATGATCAGAACTGTTCTGCTCTGTAACCAGACCTAATCTCTTCTGATGTTCACGACAAAGTTCCTTGAACACTTCTTACGTAATCACGTGTCGCAACTTTATTTTTCCTTTCACAAACACTCGCAGTTACTTTCCAATGTTACTAAACGCTACAATTTTTGTTATTTTTTGGCCTAGTTTGATTGTTGTACTTGTTTTTATTTGGGCTTTATATTATAAACACCTTTCAGTTTTATATGGATTTTTTTTCTTTTAAACTTTACTTTTAGTTTTATTTTGTAGCATGTTCCTATTTGTTTTATGTTTAAATACCACATCTGCATTGAGCTTATTTACTACCTTTACAAAACCTCTGGAGCACATTTTGTTCTGTTTTGCAACACAAGAATGTTTTTTCCTGACATCATGTCCACAAGTCTGCATTTTTATCCTCATCCCTCATGCTCTCCTAACGTACGAAGGCAGATAATTTGTTACCTGTTCACAATAATGAAAAAACAAACAAAAATATTTTACCTTGAAGCTCAGCTTGAATAGATTTGGATGGTTTCATTGGCTCTTTATTTTTTAAATAATCTCTACTATATGTCTGACTAACTAATAATAAGAAAAAAACAATGGCAGCTGTGAACAGAGGAACATGACAGCTGCGTGGAGATTTAATATGGTTATCTATAATCTTCTAACTGAGCTGCTCAGACAACTCTCACCAGCTTTCTCTGCTCCACGTTCAGTGTGATGAACACAACCATACCCAGCCACCCTGTTTGGTCCCTTTTCATGGGATATTTAAAATCAAACACTTAGTTTGAAATGCGTGCAAACAAAAAGATTCTCTTTGATAGTACTTTCAAATCTACTCGTTATTGTTTTAGCATGTCTTTGTAAAATAAACGACAAAAAATGTCTTTGTTTCCTCTTTTACATGCTAAATATACAGATGTGCATTACAACAGATTTTAAATGAACTACTTTTCACAAGAAATTACTGTTTTAATTAGCTAAATTGGTATAAACAAATGTATTTGTGTCTATATGAATCCTGAACACGTCTTTCACAATATTATAGGCATTTCTCAATCCTTTAGTTTTTTGGAAACAGATTGCCCTTTGCATCAATCAAAACATGCAAGCGTCTTCAAAGTAAAGTGGTTTAAAGAATCGCAGGAGTCGACGGGCTTAAGCTACGAGTAATGACAGCTGGGAAACCTTCTCTCTCGTGCCATATGGACTTAAAGTGGATTACTACAATCACAGAGCTTTGCACTAACTCTTGTTTAGACTCCAGAGCACACACCCTTTGGTCTAACAGTTCAGCTATTATAGTTGTTTATGATGAGGCAAGACAGTGTTCTTATGATTTACCTGGACATTTTAGTCCAGCCATTTTAGTGGGTGTGGTGTTTTTTTGTGTGCACTAGACAGTGTCCAGACAGATTACACAGCAGTGCCTACAAACTGAGAAACAGAAGTAGTCACTTTACTTTACGGATACAAAACCTTAAATAAAAGTTAAATAAAACTGTTCACACAATCATCAACATTTACACAAACAATGTAGACCCCATGTTTTTATACACCATTGATAGAAAACATGCATCTATTTTTTCTTTTCTTTCCTTTTTTCCATTCTATTCTATTTTATTCTATTCTACTCTATTCTAAGTTGTCTAGTGTGATAGGG